ATTTTTGTTTTCATAATGTACACGTGAAGATGATATATTATGTTTGGGAGCAGGAATTGCTCAGAATTAAATTGTATTGAAGGGTTTGACTTTGTTGAGTTGGGAGGTGATACTAACAATTTTATGTATGTTGCCAGATTGGTTAAACATTTGGGGGTGTCAATGTGTTATAAGTTTGTTTGTAATACATGTCGCTTAATTGAAAATGTAATATTGCAATTGATTGGTTTACATTTGGTATTTACCCTTGCTAATTGTTTGATGTGTATTGACAAATTTTTGGATATGTATTTGTGGGTGACAGGAATTTTTCAAATTAATGTCAAAGGAAGCGGGGGAGGAAAGTTAGGGACTTGAGTGTATGGTGTGATTGCGTGTTGGTTTGAGATTATGTGTGTTGTTTTATCCATTATTCATAGTATCTTGTGACGTATTGTGTGGAAAGGGATATGACGTATTAGTATTGTAGATGGTGGTAGAGTGTTGTTCTTTGAGTACGGTAATGGCAGTTGAGGACTTAGTTTGATTAATAAAGATATTTTATACAAGAATTATAGTTGCGAAGTGTATATAATAAAAAGTGTATATAATAAAAGAAACCTAAATTGGTTGCCAATATCATAAAAGTAAACATGCCTACAGTAGGCCTAATTGGTCAGGTGATATTGTGAGAGGCTTTTATTTTAATAAAGAAAATTATTCTCCCAGAGTAGGTGTATGTGCTGTGCAGTCTTTAGTGAACACATATATGTCATCAACATAGTGTCTTATGTTTGGTACCTTGTTTAATATCATGTTCATCATTTTTACAAATGTATCAGTACTGTTCACTAGTCCAAATGGCATAACGTTTCCCTCATAAAAACCGTTGTCTCTAGTCAAGTCTACATGTGTGAATATATTGTGCATTGCTATTTCATTGATCAGATCCTATCTTTAGGCAAATGGTCTCCGTCTATTACAGAAACTTTGTTTAATTTTATGAAATCACAACACATTCTAATTTTTACCATTTTTCTTCTTTGCAATGAAAATAGGGGAATAATATGCAAAACTTGAATTTCTGATCAAATTATGCTCCAATAAATTATTTATTTCTTTTTCTTCATCCTTTCTGTAGTGATAAGATTTTTGATATGGCTTGATCTTAAATGGAGTATCTTCTGTTACTCTGATGTCATGTTTTATTACTTCTTTATTGCCTGGTGTATTTGTAATAGTAGAACTGCATTTTTTTAATCTTCATATTAGCGTCAGTTTGATTTCTTTTCCTATATCCTTAGATAAGTTTAAATTTTCTACCAACGTATTTCTTGTCTTTTTCTAACATATGCATTTTAATTCTTCAAATAATCGGTTTCAGAGTTGGGGAGAGGGACGCAAAAATGAATCTCGTCAATGATGCTACCCTGCTAGTAGCGTCTAAATAGGGCTGATGGAGTGGTCCACTCACTTTATCTTTACATGTTTGTGTGCTATTTTTTGATAACTGAAGAGTTTGTATTGTGAAAGTTGAAGGAGGGATGACAAAAATATTTGGCCACTCATGGCACACGTAATAGTAACTTTGTCACTAGGCTTTGTATCTATGGATAAAAAACTCGGCGATCATTTTCATCGGAAACTAGGGCGGAAATCGAGGGTGCCGATTAAGCTTGATCGGTGGAGGGGGTTGGGGAGCCTGCTTCCCAGAAAATTGTTCATTATTTCAAAATCAAAACGTGTATTTTTAAGTATACTCGAAATCAATGTTTATATTTTATCTTTTGAACAGGGAGGGACATTTTTAAGATTTTGTGGGAGGCATTTCGGCGCTCAGTGTCATACTTAAACTGACTTTACTCTGTTCTTGGCCTGCCTCAGGGTAATCATTTGGCACAAGCTTATAATCAACCTAATACTGTATCATTGATCAGCGTGAGGGAAGGGTGAATACATTTAGGGTGCTAAATACAGTCAAGCAAACTCAAAATGCAAAGGAACATTTTTTTTAACGCATACTTTAATTTATTATTTCATTCAGACAATATTGCGGTTGCATTTTAAACTTTCGTGTGGGAAGCATCAACTTTTGCCAACATAATAATGGCCAAAGATATCTTAAATTCCGCACCAGCGGGGCGTAAACTAAATTCACTCCAGTTATGTCATCCCTGAGGGTAAGCTTTTGCCCAGATTATTCTCGCTCCTTAAATCATTTAAGTCCCTAGTACATTTTTGATAAATTCAAAATACGAGAATGCAACATTCTACATTTAATAGGAGATCAACAGCAGAAATCCTAGTTAAGAAGTAAACGTGTAACTTAAACTTTGAACCATCGTTCTAAGCAACCGCTACAACTCCAGGATGCCTTGGCTTTTTTGAGATGTTTAAAGATCTGATGTGAAAACCATATTGGAAACTAGTGAGACGCCATCTTGTAAACAAATGGCTAGTTCAAACCAAATATTTAAAGACAAATCAAATACAGACAAGACGCTTTCCCGTCATCTTCGAGTAGAAAAACTTGTTTTTTCTCCATTTGATGATTATCTTGTGTTTTTTACCGCGATGAACTGTGATTACAATGATTTTTGGGACGTCGTTTTCATACTACAAGACACATCCATAGCTGCCATATTGAAAACTAATGAGAGGCCATCTTGTAAACAAATTGCAAGTTCCAACCAACTATTTAATGACAAATCAAAGACAAACAAAAGGTGTTACCGTAATCTTGGAGAATTAAACCTCGTTCAAAAAAAAAAATCCGTAACTATTCCCACTCAAGAACTCAAGAGTTACTCATAGCGCACACTTACACGGTGAATGTCTTGCTACAGGAACAACGGAAAACACAAACAAACATTTCAATGGCTGAAGGAAATATGTACGATGAATGTAAAAAAAAAACAAATTACTATTTATTTGGATCAATAAAAATATCTTATCTTATCTTTCATTGCTGTGTTCTGTTTTTTTTGTTTGTTATTTTTTTGGAATCTGTTGTTTTGTTGCGTTCCTTTTTTAAGTTTAAACCTACTTTGTTTTACTCATTTTATATTGCGCTAACCTGTTTGCAGTCTCACCCACTATTACCCTGAAATAAAGCCTGCTGACTAGTGTAACTGATACCAATACATCAAACAATGAATAGCCTGTTCTTTGCATAACGAAATAAGTTTATATACATCGTCAAAACCTAACGGAGTAATGTATACCGTACTAACAACCTAATTCGTAAACAAATAAGGTCAATGCAAAGAAAAGATGACATGACGTCATTTGCGTTTTTATTAAAGTTGCCGTGTAGGAGTCACTTCACTTTGTTTGTTTAAATATTTTTTTTAATGTATTAGTTTTCATGCGCCCAAGGAATGTCAATATACTATTGTTTTTGTTGGTTTTCTGATTTTATTTTCAAACAGATTCCAAATTGAAATGTTTTTCTTTCATATAAACATACAATTTTAAGTTCTTGGTTGAAAAATTGACGTTTATTCATTTGAAGAAATGGCGGCGAAGGAATATTTCAACACTGAAGTTTAGATACAAAAGTTGATGTGAATAATTATGGGATATTAAAATAAAAGTTATATTTCATGTTAATAATTACTTGCCATTTTTTATCTAGTGTCATTCTGAGCGTTTGGAAATTTGAGAATGTTCGAAATAGTTATGAAAAATAGAGAATTTATTTTTTAACCGGGTACTTTAAAATGATGCGAATATAGAAAGGGTTGCTTAAATGTTCCGTCAGTTGATATTCTTGATTGCTTATCCGGGTGCCTGCAGATCGCGGTCATTTCAAAATTTGTAGGTTTTTTGGTGTTTTTTTTGCATCGTCAATTTTGTTTTTGTTAGATAAATTTGGGTAGATGGAGGCTTAATTTACCGACCGTTTTTGGATTCATCTGGAAGGTCAGGGCAAAACGATTGTGATAGATTGGATCATGAGTACTGGTCTCATTGGAGATCGATACGAATGTCCCCATTGTAAGAAGGTTATGAAATTGTGTTACCGGAAATTTGATCGAAAAAAAAATTCGTGGACGGTAAATTGATCGATAGAAATTTGATCGAACGTAAATTTGGTCGAATTTTATTTTTAGTTCACACATTAAAATTGTCTTCAAATTTCTTTTAGAATGCACCGCACTATATAGTACACAAAATTATTCGTTAAAAAAGACATTTTAATAAAAAAGTGTGAAGATCTTGTTCAAAATAGCCGCTGGCGGCACATGTTCTACCTTCCCCAATAAATACCTTACAACTTTTTGATAGAAACAATTTACCCTTCAAGGTGTAGGTTGAGTCGATGTTTCCCTTGAATTTTGTGTTCGATTTTTATGAGAAAATAAAAATGCTGGGAATTCCTGCTACTGCATTTGATACTTTAAATAGATTTTCAAGAAAATCGGTCTGGTCGTCGAGATCTTTATTTTAGCTGCCGTCATATTTGTAATTTTTAGAGACAAAGTTCTACCGTAAAATAAAAGTAACAGTTACTGTTCTATTTTGTAATACTCTTTTTTTCTAAGGTAATTTTTTGGTGGGCAAGGACACGGGGCAGCACAAGCTCTAACGACACTATAGACCCCCAGGGGTGGACTCAAGCTCTAACGTTACTAAGCAAACGAGTCTGCACAAGTTCTAAGGTCACTAAAGACACAGGGTGGCACACTCTCTAACATAACTAAGGACCCGGAAGGCACAAGACTTAACGTCACTAAGGACCCGGGGTCACACAAGCTATAACGGCACTAAGGACCTGGCACGAAACTATCTCTAACGTCGCTAAGGAGCAGGGGGGGGAGGGGCAAAAGCTTTACCTTCCTCAAAAAATACCGCAAAACTTGTTTTATAGCAACATTGTACACTTCTCGCTGAAAACTAAGTATTTTTCTTCCTTGAAATTCAGCTTATGATTTCTTAAAAAAAATAAATTCTTGGAATTTCTGCTTCTGCAACTGATACTTTAAATAGATTTTCAAGAAAACCGATCTGAGCTAGAACCTAGATCTTTCAAAGGGCAAAACTTAGTGGCACACTGCCTGAACATAAAGAGAGAGTAAGGTTCTAAATTTTCTTTGAGATCTGAAGTTTAGTTGCCATCAAAGTTTTTATTTACAAAAACAAAATTCAGCTGAGAAATAAAGGTAAGTGATGAATGTTCTATTTTTAATATTCATTGAGATAATTAATCTGTTATAATCTTTGAAACAGTTAACGGCTACAATTTATTTAAATATATTATTGATTCATTGTATGATTCTGAAATAATAAGATGACAAAACTCTCAACGTTTGCCCGTAAATGGTTGGTTGGAATTCGTCCATGGTAGCACTTAGGCATTTGGTTATTAAAGTCATCCACACAATGTCATCAAATCTTGTTATACAAAAATGGCATCAAAGCATGTCATTAAACCATGTCATCAAACCATGTAATCAAAGTAAGATTTAGATTGATAGAATGACGGGAAGTGGGTCAATTAGCTGTTAGTTTTATTTTGCCTTATACGCAGAAAAACTCCAAACAAATCTTTAAAAATTAATACATCATGTCACTATTTTGAGCAGCGTAGCAGAATTGTATTTTTTTATAATAAATATGCGAAACACCAATAACTGACATATTTTGATAGAAATTCAATTATTATGAGCTCATTTACATTATACCTGGGGCTCATTGCAGTTAATGTTGGTATGGCACCTCACACAGTTGTGCCCATAAGGGGAGAAAGGTTGGTTTATTTCTACTTACTGTCTTACTTCCTTTACAGAACTAGCTGTTTGCGTCTTAGGTACGGATCATTATTGTATATTATAACATACGTATTATACCTATACCTATTTTATACTTATTTTGAACAATACATGACCGAATACCAGTCTTAAATGTCCCTCCGAACCAGATATACCGGGCACAGTGAACTTCATACACCGGGCACAGTGAACTTCATACACCGGGCTAAGTGAACTTCATACACCGGGCACAGTGAACTTCAGACTGAAACTGAAACATAACCCTACATTTCGATAGTGTATTGAGATGTCAACGTAATTATAATGTCAGAAGAGCCTGTGCAGAGAAAGAACTGATATGAAGTTTTCCGTTCTTGTGATTCCTTGAACTATTAACCGCTCATGCCTCATTACGTTTCCCTTGCACCTCTTGTCAACGTTCCTACCTGTACTTTACTTCATATAAACAATCCTGAAAATATTGCTGAACAGCATTCTGTCCTTGACACTTGTGTAAATATCTCTTAGTGATTTTCTGCACCTGTTCTGTGGAAAGCTAGAGTCTTTATTCCACAACTACTCAAGATTTAAATGACAGTTCTTTAGGTGCAGATATAAATGTGACTACAAGAGGAACACAATACCATGTATTGTCCAACGATTGGAAAAGATACTTTTTTTAAAAACATCACAGGGAATCGTTAAATAATTCATTAAAAGAATCCTGATATTATTAATGGAGTAGAGGTTAAAATTATAACAGGGTAGAGCATGACGTAAACATATTGGCTTGATCAGGACTACAGTAATGACACACACACACATATATATACGTATATATTTATATATAACCTTTGCTCGTCTAGGCTCTACTTTTATTCCGTATTTCGTGGTTTGGATGATAACGCTCACTTTCAAATGTCACACGTACTGCAACAATCATGTAACAACAGGTCGATGGTTAGCCTTTTATATTAATTTATCTGTTACTGTGCTTCACATTCACTCGTCTGGTACTCAGCCCTGTCTGCAAGGCTGCCTGCCTCTGCTGTCAAAGTCGCGTCCTCAACTCTACTGTCACTGATATTCTATACTACTCTTAGCACATAAATACTTTTAAAATTTAATTCTGTATTTTTGCTGTTTGTTCAATGAGAAAGGCTTCCTGCCGACACTTTCGTTACTTTTTTGCGTTGCATTGTTTTACTCATTTTCTCTTCGACTGGAATCTCTCCGATTCTCCTTTACTCCTGTCCAGCTGGCTTCTCCTCCCTGTTATCCTCTTTCCTCTAAGACTGAGTTCACCCTTTGCCACGTCTAACGGTCCCTTTTTATAAGTCCCGAATAGATCATGTCGTCTCAAGAGATTCCTTCCCAGGTTTATCAATTTCTAAATCTTGCCCCCCCCCCTTTTTTTACTCTATATTTCTCATTGTGTAGACACCTGAAATTTGTCTTCCAACGCCATGATTTAAAAACACTGTCACCATCACAGTTGTACTATCTTCGTCCTGGCGCAATCTGACAGCCTACGACAGGTAGTCAGTCTTCGTAATATGGGATTTCTCCCAACTATGCCCTAACCCGGTCTTGACTCTTCACTATATACTGAACGAAATATTGAAGGCAAGTGGTTTCACGCTCAAAGTGAAAATAAGAATGTATCTGACGATATGGTATCAACGAAAATGTCCGTCTACCTGCTATTAAAAAAATTCTCGACACTCTTCACAGCCTCCTGACCAAAAAAAATCACCACTTTTGAGCAATTTTTGACAAATATAAGAAAATATAATGTATGCTCTAGATGAAATCAATCAGAGCTAAGGACATCTAAACAACATCTAAAATTTGACAAAAATACTTTGTTGGCAAAAATTGAAAAAAGGCTTAATCGAATTAAACTCTTTCCTGTTGTTAACTCTGGTTCGTATGACTAAACTCTTTCCTGTTCTAAAACCCTAGTTAGAAGTCAACTTAAAATTATGAATTATCTCAATCCACAAATGATACATTTAAAAACAGTAATAATAAGGTTTTGAAAAGTATGGAGTTAAAGGTTAATGGAGGCAGATACTTGTGGTTGAACATACAGGTCGAGATAATGCCACACAATGACTGAGGTCACATTGGTCATTTTAGGTCAGGGGTTTAAAAAGTGTGATATGATTTTTCACAGCATCGACACTATGTTGAATCGGGTCAGCGAAACTCATCGTGTTCACTATGCCCTCTAGTATCCACTTATGTTCTGATGTTGACATGATCGCTAACCACGATCAAAATTTCAAAGCCACTCTTAAGAAAACTGTTTCTGCTTCAGACTATTAATTTCACTGAATCATTGAAAGACAAGTAAAACGAAAATTACATCCTGCTATAATTTTAATTTCCTTAAACATCGTAGAGAAGTATAGGTAATCCGCTAGCCTATATAATATACAGCCTGGTATTCTTGGAGCTTTTTAATGTTTTAAAGTTTGGAGAGTTTGTCATTTTTTAGAGAAGGCGCCACCACTTTCTCCTGTTACACACCGCCATAAGGTTTTAAACAATTTAATCTGTTTTAAGATTTGGATTGTTAGAAGAAGAATATATAACAATGGACCTTAACAATGGACCGTAACGATGGACCGTAACGATGGACTGCATCAATGAACTGTGCCAAGGGACTGCACTTTGTTTACTAAGGACAGGTTACTAATGCTAGGAAAGTTGACTTTATCAGTTTATTTACATTATCAATTTAGATGTGATGAATGCAAAATCAAATTTGTAGAACATAGACCCAAAAGAGTAGAAAAAGAGAAAATAAGTATATCAACTTCAAACCCTTGAAAATGTGTAGTAATACAAAATTGGAAATATAAAATTCACGCACACAGTGTAAGCATAAATGAAAACAAGTAATGGAGAGTAAAAAAAATATATCCACACACACAAGTTTAAATATCTCTGACTACATCTCGCTCATGTTTGTCTTAATCACAATCAACCGTCTTCTTTGTAGTGGAAGAACAAAGCTTCTTGGCATGTAACCTTATCGTGAAATGCACGTGGCACTTGTGATTGAACAGTCTTTTAAAATAGTCATAATGATATCCACATTATGTCTCTTAATTAATAAATTTCAAAAACAAAACTGTGGCTCGTGCTCATAATCAATGACGTGGGATACATTGTAGTGAGATAAGTTGGTGACGTTACAAAACACATGAGATGTCATGGACACTAGCAGCATACGGGCCGTAACATCAACCCACAGCAATATTGTGTCAATGATTTTTCTTCTTAATTTTAATTTAGTTTGTTTTTCTACCTTTCAGTTTTAAATGTAGATCTATAAAATATTCATTAAAGGATAATTTTTTCCTATAATTCCAGATCACAATGACAGCAAGTCAACGGAAAATCACCATCGCCCTTTTGGGGAAAACCGGCCATGGGAAAAGCGCAACTGGAAATACCATTCTGAGAAAAAATTATTTTAAAGAGTCGTCCAATATGAGTTCTTGCTCGAAACTTGTTAAAGATGGCGAAAATAAAATAGATGGCTATGTCGTAACTGTTTATGACACTCCTGGTCCATACGATACGGATGAAAACGAAGCATTCATGAAAAAAAAGGCTGTTGAACATTGTGATACACTGATGTATGCTTGTACAAATAGTGGAGTAAATGCATTTATCTTGGTTCTCAACTACAGTGCTAGTTATACCGAAGAGGAAATAAAAACTGTTAACATGTATGAACAAATATTCGGGCCTGACTTCATTAAAAACCACGGAATCCTCGTCTTCACACATGGCGAGAACTTTGACGAAGAAGAAACCGGCAATTTTAAGACGTGGTGTAATGCCCAGACGGGCCCGATGAAAACATTGATTGAGAAATTTCAAGATAACATTCTTTTGATAAAAAATAAAGGATCTTTTGATGGAATCCGAGCTACATCTAGCCATGATATATTGCAATTGTGTATTAAAAAAAAGGAATACTTAAAGTGTGACTACGATAGGCCTTCATGTATTAGAAATCGCAAAGTGCTTTCGGGATCTGGTTCATATTGCAAAATTATGTAAATGATTCATGAGTTCAAAATCTGTTTATTCTATTACATTACCCTTTTTACAACAACGCCATATTTATAAAAAAAATTTTTTTAAAAATTCCTTCATTATTAAACACAATGTAAAAAAGCAAGAGAAGACATTTGATACCTGATAGGAACAAGACAGATACAAACACATTGGATACAAACAAGAAAAATACATATAGTCGGATACAAACAAGTCAAATTAGTTTTATATCAAAATAGCATGAAATGCGTATCTCCTGAATGTGTTGTTCACGATTCCTCTCGCTAGGAGCGCTCGTATGCTGTTGCAAAGCCTTGTTTTATTCATAGCCTTGCTTTCATCATGCCGGAAGTATTATTTCTATGTTGCCCGCTGCATAATTATGTCACTGTCCTTTTTATTATTTAATCAATGGGTGAGGTCAAGTTTCACTAATCTACTTCTAATCCTGTGTAAAAAGATTGCATAGTTGGAAGATTATCACTTGACCACCTCCCCCCCCCCTCTATTGCAAATGAAAAAGCAGCAGATAAATGATGTGTATTATATGATAGTCTAGTCTCCATTTTTTAATTAAAAAAAAAATTCAATCTAGTTTGAGTTACTGCTTCAATGAATAACTGTGACAACTGCTGACAATTAACTATTCAACTATTAAATTCATTTTAATAATGTGATAGTTCTTTTAAGTGGAAATGTTATATTTTAATACAGTTTAATAGTGATGTGTTTTAGGGGGTTGGGGGGGGGGGTAAATGATCAAAAATAGCGTGACGTACTTTATTGACGGCTCATAGACAGCACAAAATAACCAACCTGCCCACATTCCAACCTAGTCTCAGAAACACTAGAACAGCTGTTGACTGAATGCCCAAGACTACATGGTGCAATGGAACCCATGGCGTATATGGCACAGTAGATTCAGCTGGTGGCCAACGTAGTACACGGGACTTTAAGAGCGTATGGAAATAACAATGGAAATGAGAAAAGAAAATGTCCATGAGTTTATTTACCGACAGACAATAAAAGGTTTTCAATATAATAATATTCTCCTCTTAAATAATTATACAGAAATGATGACAAAAGTTAATACAGAGACTTATTTTAGAAATTATAAAAGGGAAAATAAAATATTTAACCAACTTTGAAATAAATTATTAAGTTTTAATAATTACGCTTTTATAAGTTCGCTTCTATTGAGATACTTGTAAATATGAACATTTATTAAATGGGCTAGTTACGTCTATTCCTTGTTAAATAGATATGACCGTTGGTTGTTTATATTTTATAGTAATTGTAGCAAACATATTTAATTGTTTTAAATTATTTTTTGTAAAGATTGAATAAAGCTTTAACATTATCACAGTTTGTCTTCTTCTCAGCTTGTGTTCAGAGTAGAAACTTAAAACATTGAGGTGAGCAGGAAATTTAAATAATATTTAATGCGTGATGTCATCTCAACATTGGTATCAAACCCAGTTTCTTATTTCATTTGACATCTCCCAATGAATGCTGACTGAGTCGAAGAGAAGTTACTGGCACTGAATAGACACAACAAAGTTATTTTATGTTCGTGTCCTAGCATCACTGCAATGGGAGCTACACCATGATAATGAATATAACCAGAAGCGAGATAGACTTCAAATTGCCCTACTCATTATCATCATCATCATCATCATTTCCCTTAGTCCTTGGACCGTTGGGGCGCCACAGATGACATGTGAACCATCATCCTCCATTCGTCTCTGTCTTCGACACTACGTACTGCATCGCCCAGTGTTATTCCTGTCCACTCTTTGATGTTATCCTCCCATCTTTTTCTTTGTCTTCCTCATCTTCTCTCTTCTCTTGTGGCGGCCTGCAATATTTCTTTGGCAAGACCTTGTTTCCTTCTTACGTGGCCATACCATTGTAATTTGAGTTTTTTCACAGTCACCAGTAGGTCATCGTACTCCCCAATTGCCTGACGAACCCTTTCTTTCACTGTATCATTGGAGATATGGTCCCTACAGCAGATGCCAAAAATGATTCTGAAGCATCTCATCTCCATTACCTTTATTTTCCTTTCAAGATTGGCTGTTACTGTCCAGGACTCGAAGGCATACAGGAAAATTGAGAACACTAATGAGTGCATCAGCCTGATTTTGGTGCTGGGGGCTATATTTTTGTCATTCCATATTTTCTTGAGCTTCTTTAGAGCTATTGTAGTCTGTGCAATCCTGTACATTAGTTCGGACTTGGAGCCTTCTTCTGAGACTATTGCTCCAAGATATTTGAAGAGGCCGACAGTCTCTAATCTTTCCTCCCCGACCTTAATTTCAGTGGTGATGCCTGCGGTATTATTTGTCATCAGTTTTGTCTTTTCAGCACTGATTAGCATGCCACAGGACTGAGCATGCCGTAGTACGACGAGGTCTTATCGAGACGTTTTACCAGGTTGGCTAGCTCTTCTTCGTTCCCAGCCAGTCCGTCTATGTCGTCCGCAAAGCGTAGGTTGGTGATTGTTCTGCCACCAATGCAGACTGTCCCTTCATGCGCTTCCAGAGCATCTGACATAATTCTTTCTAGGAAGATGTTGAACAGGGTGGGGGAGAGCAGGCAGCCTTGTCGTACTCCAACCGTGGTCTTGAACAATTCTCCGATGTTGTTGGTGAGGAAGACTGCACTAGTGGCCTTATCATAGAGGTTGCATATCATGCTGGTTGGGTTTGTGTTGATGTTGTAGTGCCTCATGGTGGCCCATAAATCAGCATGCCAAACCCTGGCAATTGCTTTCTTGAAGTCAACTAAGACGTGGTATAGGTTTTGTTGGTGTTGAGCATATTTCTCACATAGTATTCGAAAGTTTAGAATCTGCTCAGTAGAGCCCCGTCCTTGTCTGAAGCTTGCCTGTTCTTCAGCTATGATTCTGTCGGCATATGGTTTTAGTCGGTTCAATATGACTTTCAGCATGACCTTCCTTGGATGGCTTATTAGGCTAATTGTGCGATAGTTTTGGCATAGCTGTAGGTTACCTTTTTGGGGAGGGTGACGATGAGTGATTGGGTCCATGGTTTAGGCCATTCTACTGTAAGCCATATTTTGTTACAAATATTGAATAGGGCATTTATCATTGCTTCTCCTCCTTGTTTCATCAACTTAGCAGGGATATTATCCACTCCTGCGGCCTTTCCTTTTGGAGTGCTTGGACTGCTGCTTCCACTTCTTCGCGGAGAGTAGGGTAGTTATCATTGTCTGTTGCGGGAGGGACATTAAAAATCTCTTGGTCTATCTTTATACTTTCATTATAAAGCTCTGAACAGTATTCAGTCCACCGTTTGATGATATCATTTTCTTCGGTCAAACATTCACCATTTGTATCCTGTATGTTAGTACTACGCCTTTGTTTTGCAGTGGTTAGTTCTTTCACCAACTAGTAAGCTTTTTTGCTATTGTTTTTCTTCAAGCTGTTTTCAATGTCGTAGCATTGCTCTTCAATCCAGTTCTTATTTTCCCTTTTCATTCCTTTTTGGGTGGCTTGGTTAACTGTCCTATATTTAATGGCCCACTCTGTATGTATCCTTTATGTTTTCTTTAACTGCCTCCGTTTATCCCACAGATCAAGTAAGTTAGCAGTCACCAATGGTTTTCGGTTCGGTCCATGTTTACCAAGGATGTCGTGAGCTGTGTCTGTCACAGTTGTGTTGAAGTTATCAATCAATGTTTCCATGTTCGAACAGTCAGCATCTATGATGTTAAGCGCTGCAAATTTTCATCCTCTTATTGCTTGGAAGGCTTCTGCTACTTTAGGCTCCTTCAGCTTTTCAAGGTCAATTTGATTCTGGTATTTCACCTTTTTTGTTTACCCTCTTTAAGTGCAGTCTAAAGGTCATCATGATAGGTCGTGGTAGCTCCCGATGTCAGCTCCAAGGAAGCTGCGAGTCTTGGCAATTTTTATACTAGACCGGAAGCGTGTTTGCAACATGATGTAGTCAATCTGGTTGTGGTGTTTCCCATAGAGGCGGTGCCATGTGGATTTCCTGGTCATTGTATGTTCACCCAATTGTTGGCCAGTATGAGTTCGTTTAAGTGGCGAATTCCAAGAGCCTCAGACCTCTCTCGTTTGAAGTTGCGTTAAATTGGCGTCCGCACGTTCCTTTCCAGTTTTCATAGGCATCTTCTTCTACCTTGGCATTCCAACAACTTTGAACAACAAGAACGTCCTTCTTGGGTGTTTGGCTTAGCTTATCCTGCAGCTGATGGTAGAAGTCGCCCACCTCTTCGTCAGTATAATCTGTAGTTGGTGCATACGCCTACACGATGAGTGATGAGCCGGCTCAAAACCGGTCGACAGCTCATAATTATGTTCTTAATTTTTTTGTGGACGAGGAAGCCAACTCCTTGTTCGTGTGTGTCCTCCCGTCCACTGAAATACAGCATGTGGCCCTCCTGTGTCGATATTTCTCCAAAGTTTTTCCATCTCATTTCACACAGGCCTTGGATGTCTCATATGTATCTGCTCATTTCATGAACTAATTCCTCCACCTTGCACGTTGCTCTCAACGATCTCATGTTCCAGGTACCAAGGGTAATGTTATACCTGACACTGATACTGTTTCTTGGCTGACCAGTAGCATAGTGTCCACCTCCATCCCGGTCAGCGACGGTAGGCGCGATCCTTGGTAACCCGGTCAACGACGGTAGGCGCAGTCCTTGGCTATCCGGTCAACGACGGTAGGCGTTGTCCTTGGTAACCCTGTCAACGACGGTAGGCACGATCCTTGGCAACCCGGTCAACGACGATAGGCGCGGTCCTTGGTAACCTGGTCAATGACGGTATTCGCGGTCCTTGGTAACCCGGTCAACGACGATAGGAGCGGTCCTTGGTAACCTGGTCAACGACGTAGGCGTGGTCCTTGGTAACCCAGTCAACGACGGTGGGCGCGGTGCTTGGTAACCTGGTGAACGACAGTAGGCACGGTCCTTGGTTACCTGGGTGACGACGGTAGGCGCGGTCCTTGGTAACCCGGGCGACGACGGTAGCACGGTCCTTGGTAACCTGGGTGATGACGTTAGGCGCGGTCCTTGGTAACCTGGGTGACGACGGTAGGCGCGGTCCTTGGTAACCTGGGTGACGACGCTAGCGCGGGCCTTGGTAACCCGGGTGACAGGCGCGGTCCTTGGTAACCTGGGTGACGACGGTAGGCGCGGTCCTTGGTAACCTGGGTGACGACGCTAGCGCGGTCCTTGGTAACCTGGCAGACGACGGTAGGCGCGGTCCTTGGTAACCTGGGTGACGACAGTAGGCGCGGTCCTTGGTAACCTGGGTCACGACGGTAGGCGCGGTCCTTGGCAACCGAGCGACGGCCTATCCGGTATGGATTGTAAATCTGTTATCATGTACAAGTAGCGTATCTCGGGCAGTTGTCACATGGCGGCGCCCATACCTCTCCACGCCTTTTGTGTATTTTATACCGCCATATTGTTGTGGCCGGAAATGATCTTTTGCATAGTGATAATGGAAATTTTGTCAACGAAATTGTATTGAAAGGAAATTACTTATTCGAAAAAAAAAGAATATGATCCTATGCAGATTATTAAAGATATATTCCACCGAAAGGACTATTTCCATCAATTAATTTCTTGTCAATCAATGTTCCTTCCAATTGTGCTGTACTTGTTGTTGTTTTTTTCTCCGCCATCTTGTTGCCCTACTAGATATTTGTAAAATTAATTTTTGTATGTTGGTCAAGTAAATGT